TTCCACGTGTGTTTGTTTTTGTGTGCGGCAAAGTTTTCCGGTGTCGACTTTTAGGCGCAGTGCACAATGTTTTGCTTGTGATTCGAAATCATTTGCATTTGAAGTTGAGTTTTAATTAACCTACAGCAATCGTCCTCCGCCCCGAGGCCAATTAGCCAGGCAATATGGCTAATCAATAGCTGACAAATGAACGCAATTTAAAAGGGATTCATTCCCGAATCGTTTTTTTATGACGGTCAAAAGTGCCAGTAAAAATGCTGTTTACTTCTTCACACATAAATTTAATTCAATTTATTTTCTGTCAAGTGGCCTACGTGTTAAGGAAACAGGAGGAGCCACTGGGCTTTGAATTTAAGTAAAAATATGGAAAATACATTTCGAATGACTGTTTTTGGAAGAATCACTATGAATGCTGCAACCAATCAGTTTGATTAACCAGAAAATACTGAGCTCTATTTAAGTTCTTTTTAGTTTTTATCAAAACTTAATTTTATTTTCATAAAGAATAAAAATAAAGTTAACATTAAATTTACAAAATGTTTTCTCAATTAGATTTGATTGGCTAATCTTTTAAGATTCGAAGCAATGCGAAGTTGCTCCATAAAGTTTCTTTAAAATTACTTTGTTTTGGCTTTCTCTGAGGTATACCTGGTGTAAATGAGATCTCAACTAACTATATTTATCTTTTCAGAAAGTTCGAGCATCTAAAACTCTATTTAGTTAGTTTCATTAGGTCTGCAATATTTTGTAGTCAAATTGAATTAAATGAAATGCACCCAAGTTGCAAACTTTAAAACTCTAAGAACCCAAAACTTTCGCTGGTCAGAGACTAAGGAATAAAAAAATTATATAAAATAGAAGAAAGATGTCTTATGCAGTTAGTGAGGGCCAGCTCTCCGCAATCCGCCATCTCCGGCTCTTTTGTCGGGGCGCATTGGTATATCTTTGTCTGAATGCGAATGCAACAAAAACTGCAAACAACTTTCATAATTCATTTCTGCCTGAGTGTAACAATTTTTGCACTTTATGACTTTCGAGTGCGCCCAGCGAGTGGCACGACTTGGGCCCGCAAATCATGCAACATTCTGAGTCGCAGTCAGAGTCGCTCAGCGGGCTGCCTGGCCCCAAAATGCAAAGAGCTAAAAAAAATGAACTTTAAGTTGGCAACATTTGGGTTACGCTCTTTTTTGTGCTAATTACAAGGAAACTGGCAGCTAAGAGCTCCAGCAGGAGTTGGCCGCAGCTGATGGATGGGGCACTCGAGTTGGCAGCAACCGAAAACGAAAACAAACTTGTGGCCCACAACAACAACTGCACGAGCAAGAAGGGGCAAGCTGTAAACGACCAAAAAGTCAACGACGAGCCGAAGGCAGCCAAAAGCCCAACGCAGCCAAGGCAAAGCAAGGCCAAAAGCGTGACCAGGAAGTTGTAAACGGCTCAGCCAAAACAAAAGCACCGACAACTGAACTTCCCTGCCATAACCCCATTCCCGCTCTCCATTTCTCCCCTTTTCAACAGCTGCGTCTTCAGCAACTCCTGCTCCTTTTCCGGCTGCATCTCCGGCCAGTTCGTGAGCAAACAGATTGGCAGGCAAAGCGACCTCGCCTACTCAAAATAAAAGGCAGTAGGAAGTGCTGCCTCGACTTGTTTACCTGCCAACCACTAGCCCCAACGATAACAACAACAACAACAGCAACAGCTCCGGTTGCAAAGTAAAACATTCAACGTTGAACGTTGAACGTTGCACAATGCCAAAGACGTTGCCCCAAACAAGCAACGAGGCGTGTTGAGAGCGTGCCTCCAGCTGCTGCCTTGAACCCATGCCAAGGAGTGCCAAGCACTTAATCAGCTGCGTAGATACACACAGTTAAGTGACAGAAATCACTGAGAATATATATATATATCGAAACAAATTATTATATTTAAGTGAGCAGCTCTTTTACAACAATTGATTGGATTGCATTCATGAATTAATTCTTAGGACTTATCCCGCAATTATATTAATATAAATATATATATATATAATATCTATATATATATATATATATATATATATATATATATTTATATGTAAGCATTAATAAATAACAAATGTTTGCATTAAAGGCTTTCCTCTTAATATGTCACATTTATATAACGGGTTTCAATTCCAATTGTGCATTCGGGGTATTCCCGCTTGGAGAATTCGAACTTTCGTTGGCGGCTTAAACATTGTTTATGTCACTCGTTGACGCACATCCTTGGCCTCGGCTCCCCTTTCGATTGGTAGCAACAGGAATTTTTCGATTTATATTCCACCCCAAAGGATAATAACAATAAGTGTTCAGTACCACAGAGGGGCAGCGAATTGATACCCTGTAAAAAAGCTTACATGACAACGTTTAGTCACAGATTGCCTTTGGGAAAATATGAAAGAAAGAAAGAAAGAAAAACACAAGCTTATCATATTCACTGTTATTGCTATAGGGTATAAAAAACTGAAGAAAGACGGTTGGACAGGGCGCCAGCCATTTATTCAGGTAATAGAAGCTCCTCATATGGCAGTCCTTCTGGTGAAACCAGGCCAATAGTCCTCACTCAAATGTGCCCACTAGTGAGCTGTCCTATCCCACAGCTACAAATATAAATACAAATATAAATAAAATATAAATAAAAGAATATATAAACGGGAGTTGGAGTTGCACATAAAACACAAAAGAAGATAATAATAATGCCACCAACAACAACAGCAACAAGCAAGCAAACAACTGCGCATAAAAGCAACAACAATTCGATTACGACAATTGAAATACTTAAAGCAGCAACAGCCACAAACTTTGCCTTTGAACAAATTGTAGCACGTGAATTTCAAGGACAACTTAAATAACTTAATAATGCATCCTTTCCCTAGAGTGAGTTAAGAGAGCCTGTGGCTAAAGCTTAAAGCATATTTTGCTAAATTAAATACTGAAATTCATGTGGCGAAGATTAATTATCATCAGGAAACTTTGGCAAATACATGATTGATTTCCGCTTGCTATTTTAATATAATAAATTATACTGTGTATACATTAATATAGAATAATAATATAATATTTTAACATTCATTTAATTAAAATTGCTTTATTTATGTTATTTATTTACGGTGTTAGCCACATAATTAAGAAAAAAGAAGTGAAACTGTTGTACTCTGACTGCACAATACTTGTATACGGTCTTGTATATCTTTTTAATCTATAGAGGACGTCGTCTGTAATTCAGTTGTTAAATTTTTAATTTCTAAAAGTAAAATGTTGGAGCCAAGGCTTGAAAAATTTATTTTCTGTATGCCACGTCTCTAGCATTAATAGCGCTTTCGACTCAAATTAGAATCTGACTAAGTATTCACGAGTATAAATTCTAAATTTCAAGTCCCTCTTTGCTTTCATACAGACTAACGGACATTAGACTTTGCACAAAACCAATATACTATTTTCAATCTGCTAGCGCTCTTTCATCCATAAATCATATGCTTAATACATACAGCATTTAACTGATTCACTTTGAGGACTTTGATCCCAATTCCAATTTGAGGGTTTTTCCTTAATTATAAATTGATGTCAATAGTAATCACCTGCTTATCAGCAGTGTCAATTTCAATTCGAAAATCACAGTTAGACCATTAATACCCATTAAATAACCGACAAAATAGTTTCTTATCAATATAAATAAGTTTGATCTTAACAATGTGCAGTCGAGCAATCACTCTCACGGCTCAAATTCTTCAAAATCCGGTTCAACAATAGGCAAAAACACTCAACGGAGCTGGGCAAACATGTATATCTCTATTTAATTTATGGACCTTCACAGAGAGTTGCGGTGTTAAAAATCAGTGCCAAATAATTTGCATAATTTGCTGATGTATCAGTGTGAACAAAGCTAGACAAACACAAAGAAAAGCGTAAAAATGGACGGTAAATTAATGGAGCTCTCCTTAATAGAAAGCACTAAAGTACTAATTTACGGACTCCCCAATTTGTATGCAAATGGGGGCGTTCACTTTACGTCACCGTAATATTTTTTATATTCCGTATATATATTTCCATATAGTTCAACAAATATATTTTAATATTTTTGGAAGAAGAACCTGCTCGAAACTCAATTAGTTCGTCCATAAAATCTATCTTCAAATTTGCACCTCTCTGATAACAGGTAGCAAATAGGAAGTTGTCAGCTCTAATTTAAAACCAGATACAACCTGTGACAGTATTCATTTATTTTAGGTCCATATATTTAAATTACATCCGCTCGAACTACAACAGCATCAAATGCCTTAAATGTAGGGCCCTCAATTGACGTATAAGTGGAACCTGCTGTATATATTGGCACAGATACAGGTTTGATATACCTATTAATAAAGATGTAGATACAGATACGTAAGCAGATACAGATACATATGCCAATAGAGATATACAAATGCATATATAAAGCTAGATACAGATACAGAGAAAGGTAAAAAGACAGATGCACATACACACACATATGTAAATATAAATACAGATGCAAATATAGATAGTCCTATGAAATACAGTTATTAAGTCATGCAGATATATCTATCAGGTAACAGCTGCGACCGTGAACTGGCAGAGTTCGAATCCATTAGGGGAAATACATACATTCTGCATCTTCTGCGACTCGTTGCTTACCTCAAGAAAAACAAAAGTTGCCTCTGTCCCATAATTGATCAGAAGCAACAACAACAACAGCAACAACAACAAAAGCAACAACAACAACAACGACAGCAACAACAATCACAACAACTGCAAAACCCGTTACTAGACGTAGCCTAATCCGGTTATTAAACTTTACATTTTTTCTGCTGCTGGACAGTCGCGTCGTCTGTGCGTAAATTCTCGCTCTTTAAATTTGCTTCAATTCCCCTTTAAAAGAGATAAGTTTTCAGCTTTTGTTTTATTAGTTTTTTTCGTTTATTTTTTTATAAAAACGTGGCGCACGCGCAGCGCATCTTTTAGTCAACTTCAATTCTTCAAGCACGCCAGCTCGAAAATCGTTAACGAACTATGTCGCTTCGCATTGTGAGTGTTGTGCACGAGAATGCAATTTGGAATTTGTGTAAAATTAAACGGCAATTGGAATTCGCACTGTTAAGGTGTTCTTTTGACAATGATATAAAGTAGAAAAGTTCAAGATGACAAATGGAATTCCCTTTAACGATAACTATTGCAGCTGTTAGCAAAAAAGAATCCCATTTCATTGTGCTGAAGATTTTGATTTTTTATATATTATATCTTTATAAATATATCTGAAAGAAATTCTAAGTAAAATATTTAGTAAAAGAAGCATTCACCACATTTAACTTTTGACAGATGATAATACATTTTATTATTATTTTTAAACTTTAAATTAACTTTCTAATTTTCTAAATAATTCACAATTCATAGTTTTGAATTTCAGTCTTAAAATTCGATTGAATGTCTAAAAATCCTAAAAATCTTGCATGGCAACAGCTTATTTAATAAATGAACAACCCAAACATTTGAATATTCCTTAATAGCATCTAACATTCAACTGTGACGTCTCGAGCTACTAAAACGCATGATTCGCTTAAATTAAGCATAAAAAGTTGTTTTGCCAACCATCTTGATATGAGAAGAGCTATAAGGAAAAATTCCAAAAAATATCTGCATTGTGGGATTTGCATAACATGCTGAATCAAATTATATTAATGCTAAATTATACGTTAGATGACTGCAGAAACTATGCAGGAAAACAAAACGTGCAAAGGGCGTTCAACTTGCAAGTTTCTGCTAGAAAGACCTCGATGTGCAGAACAATTAGCATATATCAAATGATATTTATTATAAACATCAATTAAATTAAAATAAGATTTCGATTTATAAATAATGCAATAACTCTTAGCTAATATTCTAAAACAGGCGAAACCCCGTTGTCCACAAAATACACAAAAGTTAATTTGTGTTAATTTTTGGCTAATTTGTTAGGCAATGACAAAAATGGCCTGTAGTCCATTTAAGCCACTAAACGTCAGTGAATTATGTTCGCTCTAAGATTCTTCTTGCTACGAGCTGAGTTCTGATTTAGCGGCATACATATTACATATACATATACATTTTATCATACAATGCAAGGTTACTGATCTTTCCCCTTCACAAACCATGGAGGTCAACTGCCCACTCTTCGAACTAAAATACAAATCTAGAGCATAAGCAAATGAGCTGTGCCATAAAAAATCAGACTGCATAATTTGTGCCCAAGAGCAAAGCTAATTATATTATGTAAACAAAATAGGAAGCAACAAATTCAGAGAGCCGCTAAAAGCCATCGATCATTTCTTTCGCATCGTTTGAGTTAAGAGCATTTCCCAACTATTTTACAGTTATTAATCGCAGCTGCCGCTTTGATTTGCCACTGCGCCGCCGATGTGGCGCACATAAATCAAGAGGCGCCTAAGGACGTATTGGTGCCGTTCAATGATTTATTGCCGCCGCCGCCGGAGGAGTCCAGCACGGAGGCAGCCACGCCAGCTACAAAGCCAACCAAAAAGTCCTTCCATCAGCAGCAACAGCAGCAGGCCAGGAGCAAAGACTCAGATCTCAGGGCCGAGAAGGTGCCAGAGCTGCAGCTGGCTGTGGACTTGCTGCCACCATTCGCTGAGGCTGACAGTGGCAGCAGCAGCACCACCACCACTACTACAACGCGACAACCACTTGTTAGCGTTAAGCCTGCCGCAACTGTTGTGCCACGTGTCGAACAGCCGGTGCAACTGCACACGCGCGTAGCATCCCGCACCAACAGCGTGGCCAGTAAATCCTCCGCCTCCTCCCGCTTCTCGCCAGAGCTGATCCGTCAGTATGCCACATACTTCCAGTCCACGACGCCGCGTCCACCTCGTGGACCGCTGCCGACGCTGACGCCCTTTCCGCGCCACATTAAAATCTAGAATATTAATTAAATTAGTTAAGCGCACTTCAACAACAACAACAACAATAATAAAATTAAATTAAACCAGCACAAAGACAAGAAATATGAATAGAATTTTTTTCTTTTTTTTTCACGTTGACCAACAATTTAATTTATAATTTGGCCAAAAGCGAAGCGTTAAACAAGTAGAAGGCAAAAGAGCTGAATCTCAATATAACTTATGCTTACATTGTTGGCTTTAAAAACTGGTGAATTTGGGGCATATCTTTCGAACATATGAAGAATCTATTGAATGTGCTAAAATTGAGATGAAAGAGAGTCGAGGTAAAACGTATTTTCAAGGAGAACAATCAGTTCTCTAGGCAATGCACTGCTGGAAAATGTGAGCAATCAGATGGAGCTGACTCTAAATACTTTTTCTATATGCGGAAGGTCATAATTGAATATATATATATATATATATATATATATATATAGATTAAAAAAATTAATTGATAAAGAAATATTCGTGTATCATTCAGGGTATGAACGGCTGTGGAAGCGCAGTCCTGTTGGCATTTGCAAATTCATATTAGAACATCATAAAGGTAAAGCTTCTCAGACACTTGATGTTATTATAAAATATATTTAAACAGATCTTATTTATAGACTATGTTAGCTTTGATGGTCATAACTTTGATAACGGTATTACAGACTGCACATTATATGCATTAGCTCTGGTGGTCCCATGGATAAAATCAGATTTAAACATTAAGATCATATTTGCTATGATTCGAATAAATGTTTGTATTATATATTTAAATTTAAGAAAACATTCGGTGTTTATATTCATATATTAGTATTTAATATAATATTCCATTACTTATCAACTTGAATTACGTGAAGCGATAATATATCACTAAAGAATATTCAGAAGTTAAACATATTTTTATTACACCTAGCACGTGCTTAGCTTGCCGAAGCTACTTTTTCACATAGTCAATCGACCCGCTTGGCGGCTTTCAAAATTTATTTTCGCACTACACTTAATTCATTGCTCGCGGCAAATATCTTGGCGCCGCTGTTCGACACTGAAAACCTCTTTTGCTACTGCCTAAAATATACACAAGCAGATACAGATACAAACAGATATATATACAGATACAAAATTCTTGCACTGCACAGTGCTCGATAAGCTGTCAAGTGCTAATTATTGCCCGAGCCCAGACGTGTTAAATGTTGCTGTTGCTGATGATGTTGCTGACATTCGAGCTACCGCAAATATGTCGCATTTGCATCGCGTTGCAGGCGCTAGAGCTGAATGGCAACTGTTTGTGCTCTAATCAAATCATTGCCAGACAGATTAGCCATATTTATGGCCAACGTTTGTCACTCGAATTTCTTGATGTTGTTGTGGTTGCTGTTGTTGTTGTTCAGTTAACCGCATTAATAACAAGCTGATTGACATTAATGCGTTACTGCAGTCAATTTAACAGCTGATTTAAAATCATTTCTGGCTCCGACCTCCGGCAAATGTTGCTCTTCAATTGCCCGCCAACAGTTTTTCGTTGATTAATGACGTTAACACAAATTTAAGCTGGCTTAATACGAATTTAATTAATATTGAATACGCATTTATTTTAACAGACATACTTGAAAAATATATTTTCTTAGTATTTGATAATATATTTCTTTTAATTTTGGTTTTCCAATTCGGGTTGGTTGGCTCTACATGAGTTTTATTTGCCTCTAAGTGTTGAAACGAAAGTTCAGATGAATTTGGATTACCTCTCAAGCTTGAAGTTGTCAAGCTTGATGTAACGTTTAGGAGATTTAATATTCAATATTAGCTGTTAAGCTAAATTTAAGATACTTTAAGGCCTAAAATCCCATTGACTCATACTTGATTGTTAATCAACCATTTTCACTTGACATTCCTTTCAGAATTCTGCAGCAAATTTGTCAATTTATTTGGTTGTCCGAGCTATTTCGCCTTTCAATTGTTTTGAATTATTTATTTAATTCGTATGCAAAATATCATAAAATTGCAATTTTATTTATTTATATTTCAATGTTGCAGCAAACAGTGCGCTTAAGCCGACAAGTTTTTAAATGATTTTGTTGTTTGTTTGTTATTTATCATTTGTGATTTGTGTTTTGTGTAGAACGAACTAGAATGAAATTGAAATATTTATATATTTACTGATGTAAAAAAGTATTTACAAGGTGGCAGGCGTGTCGAGTATTTGATTCAATTTCAGATATGCCCAGGCATTTTATGCTATTTAGTTTTTATAATTAAAATGTCAGTTGGCGAAATGCATGCGCAGCACTTGTAACAGTTAAATTGATTTAGCGGCAGATATTGCCAATGGAAGCTCTTTAATCTCCTCTCCATACCATTCCGTCCTATATTCCCACCAATGTCAAACCTCGCAAAATCATTTAATTCTATTCTAATGGGCTTCAGCTAATTATGGAACCAGCCCCTGCTCTAACAAGCACTCCCGGATCAAGCTGGATATCAGCTTAAACATGCTAAACATTGTCTGAAGAAAAAACACATACAATAATTGTCTCAAAGTCCTAGTGAATGTAAGATACTCTAAAATCTCATTATAAGCATTGATATAAAAATGGTTATAAGTTGAATTCATAAATAAATTGAATAATGTTTGAAGTGGCTGAAAGACTTTTATTTCCTTTGGTTTCTTTGAAATACACCTAAAACACATTCCTTTATATCCATCGACTTATTTCGATTATTCAAAATAATATGCGCTCATTATAACTAAACTTTTGCTTCTAATGCGTGCAAAGGCATTAGATGTGTCAGCGTTAGCATTAGGGTGCCAAACTGTGTGTATGTGTGCGTGTGTTTGGCTGTGAGGGTTGAGTTTTTGAAGCTGCATTAAAAATCGCTTTTAACAAATGGTGCCATAAGCTCTTAGGCAAACTTTTAATGTTCAGGCACACGCACATAGTTGGCTTCTGGATGTTTGTGTGTTTTTGTAAGCAAGATTTATGTGGGCAAAGCGGCGAATGAGTGTTTTCAACTAAAGCACGCAGAGCCTGTAGGGGCAACAGGCAGAGTAACTCACATGTGGCCAAGGCCAAAGTATTTATAAGTGCATATTAAAAGTGTCTAGACATGGCCTCATTATAACAAACAACTCAAGCATTCTAAATAAAATAAAAGGCAAAGCAACTGAGGGACCCTAACGTTTTACCAAAGGTAATGAAAACAATAAAATTAACTGAGTTTAACTAATGATAATATTATACAGAAAGAGGTAAACAGAATAACGCAGTCGAAGAATATTAAGCTTAACACTTAATGACCGCTCACAAAAGTATGCAATGAAAATAATTAACGTGAATATTTCTATGCTGCGCGAAAAAGTATGCAATGCTTTCTGATGAAACTTCAACCAATTGAAAAATTCCTGTTCAATCTGATTTTTAAACGAGATGGAGTTCATCGCACTCGCCTCATCCACCTCCACTTCATATCAGCTCAAAGATATGTTACTTTCATTGTTTATCCACAAATAAACTGCTGCCGGAGCTGAGTTTATTTCGCAGCCATTTAAAGTACAATTAAATGAAAATATGCCGGACAGCTGTTATGTTCATTTCCTGCTGGCCGCGGAAAGCGAAGACGGGCGCATTCGCATTGTCCTGGCTTGCACAAATAAGCCAAACAGTCGAATCGACAGGACAATTGCGCAAAATTGATTGTAAATACGTGAAAATACCTAGATATATATTAAAGCGGCGAATGAAATGCCATATCCAGCTGCTTTGCGCGCGCTTTAAAATGCAATTTTCAGCAACTTTTTTCATTCCGAAAAATTTTTCCGTTTTCCTTTTTGTTGCCACGCCCATTTTCATTTTGCAAGCATATGCAAAAATAATTTTTAATATGCGCATGTTGGATGCCAAGCAAGGACAGAATGGCTGCTCTTGCAGCTCCAGCTTCAACTCTAGATAATTATCATGAAGAGAGTTATCATAATGATAACGCTGATGAGCGTGGAAAACTGCTAGTGTCTGGCCACCTACATATCACTTTAATTACGTACAGACAATAGCTGACAGCATACGTTAAAAATGTAGTATCTCCAAAGGCTCGACGAAGAGATATCCTAAAGATTTATTTTTTATTTATTTCTGTTTGCAATCTGTCCGATAGGGATGAGGATCACAGCTATCCAGAGAATATCCAGCAAGTGATGTTATCATACAGGTTGCTAGCAAGGCGATTGATGTGCCTATCTCCCAAGAGACTCCAAGTGCTTTGTGGCTTTGAAATTCACGATCGTCTAGTGTAGATCAACTAGAGATACTGGGATAAATATATGAACAAAAGAAAAATATATTTCATATTTACATTTTAGAGAATGTGTTGAGAAGCTTATGTATTCTTCATTGCAACCCGTTTCCATAGTTCTCTGTGTGGAGGGTATAAAAGCCAGAAATAAAATTGTGCATGCGAAAGACAAAAAAGGAAGAGAAAAATATTGAGCATGCGATTGAAGTATTGATTGTTTAATCAACGTTGCGTCAATATTGTTTGCTGGCCATTAACTGACAGCCCTCATAGATGTTTGCCTGATGCGTCCGGGCGTTAATGTCTCGTTTTTTTCTACAACAACGGAAACGGGTTTTAATGTGAAAATAATTGCATATCATTACAGCGTGCGATAACGAAAGTAAAGCAAACTTAACCAAACCAAAAAGAAGAGGAAAGAAGAGCAATGCAAAAATATTGATATAATAGCATTAAATTTTGATTCATTTGATTTCATTTTCCATTCGGCCACGACAAATGACTGATGATTGTGTCTATGATATTATTAAATTGAATTGCAAAACCTTCACTTATTACGCAGCAACAGAAGGTCGTTCTTTGATTTGCCATATTCTGCTTTCATTAACGTTTTTTTAATTGAAAAGCGAAAACCAGTAATCCATTGAATTACATTTGCTTTCATCGGATGCGTTTTTCACTTGATCAATTCAAATTGTAATTGAATTATATTCGTTGACAGCAGCTGCTCGTGACATGGTCAAATTTAAGCTACATTCTGTGGCTGGTGCA